ACCTCTGCAACCACGGGGGTACAGAGTCCAAGGCCCCTGCAGGTGCAGGCCGCAAGCCCGTTTTGGCCATGGGGCCCCTTCCCCCGGGGGACACCTACACCTCCTCTTGCAATCACACCCCTAGGGCCAGGCCGTGCCCAAAAACGCCCATGACGGAGCGCGGGGTCACTGTCACGGGGGGCACCCCCTGGAAGCCACAGACGAGCGGCGACCGCGTCTTCTTCCACAATTGCAGAGAGACAGGCCGGCGGGGAAAGGCAAGGGCAACCCAGCCCCATTCAGAGGGGAAGAGTCTTCACCTGGCCCAGCAGCGCTGATGAGCCCCGGCTCCGCCCCCCGCTGGAGCCTGACCCTGCTCACTGGACTCTGCCTGTGCAACGGTGCACTTCTCAGGGCCGCCTTGAGGGGGCGCTGGTCAGGGACTTCGCGGACCCTCATCCCCCACGGGGCTTGGGGGCCCTCTACACCAACCGGGTTACGGGGTCCTAAGACCCCTACAGGGACCAGGTTCTCAAGCCCGTTTTGGGAACGGGTCCCCTTCCCCCTGGTGGATACCTACACCCTCCTCTTGCAATCACACCCTAGGGCCAGGCCGTGCCCCCAAAAACGCCCATGACGGAGCGGCGGGGTCACTGTCACGGGGGGCACCCCCTGGAAGCCACAGACAAGCGGCGACCTCGGCCTCTTCCAAAATTGCAGGCAGACAGGCCGGCGCGGAAAGCCCCGGGCAACCCAGCCCCACTCAGAGGGGAAGAGTCCTCACCTGGCCCAGCAGTGCTGCTGAGCCTCTGGCTATGCCCCAGGCTGGAGCTTGACCCCGCCCCGGACTCTGCCTGCGCAAAGGTGCGCTTCCCAGGGTTTCAGCTTGGGGGCGCAGGTGAGGGGTTTCGGTGACCGTCAGACCCCACTGGGTTAGGGGCCCCCTACCCCAATTGGGAAACTGGATCCCCTTCAACCAGGGGGAAACTGGCCCCCTTCCCTCTTGGGGATTGGTAAAGCTTTCCCCCGGAGAACACCTGCACCCTGCTCTTGCACTCACACCCCCAGGGGCACGCAATGCGACCGAAGGCGCTCTAGACGGAGGGGCGGGGTCACTGATGTTTACCCTATAAGGGAACCATTTTGGAAAGAATGTCCTTTCAAAATCCTGCCAAATATTGGTGAGAAAGGCTCACACTTCATTTCCTTTTGCACCTTCCTGAGGTTATACCAGGGCCACCTACTTTGTGTTTTTGACCACAAACAAATTAATTTGCTAATATTTCTCAATAGAGCCAACGTGTATTTAGGCCCTGTGTTAGTAGTGTTTGGGGTTTGAAGGAATCCTTGAGGGTCTCATCCTTGAGGGTCTTGAGTCTAATGGGGGAGATTTATGTAGCTGCAGATAATATCTCAGATTGTCCCTCATCTACAACTGGATAACCAGTCTTATCCATTAAAAAAATCCATAATTAAAGAGGAAAGTAATTATTTTTTATTTTAGAAAATACAGCCAGATTAAAAAATCTATAAATAAAAATATAAAAATCATTCTTTCTTAATGTAGTGATAATCACTGTTCTCTCAGGTTTTTTGTTGTTGTTGTTGTTCCGTCTGCAGATCCATTTTGTTCAGAAAAGAAAATATAAGCAATTATCCTCAGTATGGTATCTCTTCCGTTTCAGTTTTAAGTGCCTTGTTGGTTGACATGTGTTTCCTACAACTTGTATAGTATCACCTACACTCTGTTTGGGGAAAAAAAAATCTATCACATTTGACCTTTCTTGCCTATTGATTTTTTTCTTGTAGGGTCACTTTTAGCCAGTAAGGTCTGTCATTGAAACGCTCCCCTCTGTTAGATGTTCCACCATGATATCGGGTAAATCGTGTCTCAATTTTGTGGTCTTCAGCTGTTGTGTAGAGGACTCTCTTTTCCTTCTTGAGGACCAGTGTACTCTCTCAGTTTCACACATACAGAACTTTAGTTCCTTTCAGCCAACCTCAGAAACCTTGTACTTCAATTAAGGTGAACTCACCTGACTATCAGAGTATAGAAGACATGTTTTCTCACAAAAGCTTGCTAATTTATTTATTTATTTTAAAGATTTATTTATTTATGCATACAAGAGCTGGGGTACAGGCCAGCGATGCAGGGGGTGAGAGGATTCACCAGAGACAGAGTGGGGGGCAGAACAGGCAGACTGACTGAAATACACTGCTGAGGGGAGCAGCGGGCAAGTCAGGAGAGGCCTGCTGTGCCCTGTGGGTTTCTCCCTGGCTGGCCGGGGAGCGAACTCGTGCTGCAGAGGCTGTGGACCACTTCATAGTGCTGTGCTTAACCCTTGTGCCACCAGGAAGGCCCCAAAGGCTTATTTAGAAGTGACTTTATTCTGAAACTTGATGTAAAGATAGGCCAAAGAGTACTGAATGAGACTAGGAGGAGAATCATTTCTCTCACAGCTGGCTTGATAACCTTCAGCTGTAGATGGAAGCCTGAGTCTGACCTTGACCAAAAATGGCTTATTGATTTTTGTGGTGGAAGTAAAATGGCATCAATATTTCATGTGTCTTGTGAAAATAAATTCATGGGACTTTAAAGAAGCAAATGTCAGTGTTTTGCTTCTTTTGTATTTGCAGTGAAAAACATCATAAAAGTTCAAAAGCTGTCAAACATGTGCTGCTTCTATAACACCTGTGCTAGGAAAAAGGTCTTCATCTAAAATGATCTGAACTTTTGTGTAATTTCTCCCTCTCAATAAATAAATGAATTACTCAACAGTGTGAGTATGAGGTTGACTTGAGATGTACAAATGAATAATCTTCCTTCATAAATTTCATGCTCCATTGATACCTCATAGCAGAATAAAGTCTGAGGAACATCTTCAAAATTTCAGATTGATAACATGATGATAGTAATCATTAACACTTACTTGGCACTAACTACCAGGCATTGTGCCAAATACTTTATATGTTCTCTCTCTTTTACTAATTCTAACTTCCCTTTGAGGTAGATCCTAGTATTCCCATTTTATGGATGGGGTCACACGGAGGTTAAGTAAACTACTTATAGTCTTAAAAATAGGAAGTGGTTGGTTTGGCCTGGGACTGAAACACAAGCCTCAACTGGAGTCTACACATATTGGGAAGAGAAACCTGTGAGAATTCTGTTGGGTTAGGTGAGTTTTTGTTCTACAGTCACCTTTATTAACTTATGCAGCTCTGTGTTGGCATTTGCTTTGTGGAACCCCCTTCTTTCAGTTGTTCTGTGCTGGACCATTAGACTCCTTGAGAGTAGAATAATTTATTTCTTTGTGATTGTACAGGACCTAAACTTTTTATGCAAGACAGTTAGATAAAAGTCCTGATACATAATAAAGTCTTTGGAAGAAGATGGGGGAGAATAGCTGGCACATCTTTGTAGCTTCCCTATAAAATAGCAAAGGCTAGAGGCAGTGTTCATCAGCACTGCTTCTGGAAATAATAGAGCTCTCTCTCTTGTGTTTTCAACATTTCCATAGCTTGACTTCAGAATTGCTAATGCGGTGAGCTTTTCTGACATACCTGTGTAGGGAGGACTAAGCTTTTATTCTATCTTCTTAGGTTCTGTTTCTGAGTTCTGTAAGTGAAACTGACAGATTAACAGGAGAAAAAAAGGCTACAGATTTATTTATGTATTTATTTTTGGAGAACAGAAAAGGTGGATAGCAGCAGGCAAGATAGGAGAGGTCTGCTGTGCAAAATAAAGATATAAGTGATGTTTTTAATATTTTTATGCAGAAGGCCTATACAAAGAAAGAAGTGAAAACTTGAAGAAGTGATTAGAGTTGGAAGTTTAATACCATTTTAATGAAGGGAAAAGTTACTGGACAACAAAAGAAGAGTTTTAGGGACCATAAATTATGTGGGTAAGTATATGGAGAAGCAAGTGGAATATAAGGGTTATTTTATTCAATGTGTTTATGCAGACTCATCTAGATGCCATCTTTGGCGACAAAGGTTGTTCCCCTATTTCATGTATGGGAGCAAGAATCATCTTAACAAGGGGAATTTATGTCCTACCTTTCGGTACATATGGAGAGGGTAGAGGAGTTCTTCCTATGTCTGTTTTTTCTTAATTTCCTTTAGCTCAGAATAACTCTGATGCCAGGGTGGAATGTTTGGGTATCATATCATCATCCCTTCCCCTCATACCTCATACCCAAGGAAGAGGAGAGAGAAAAGCAAATTTCAGTGGGTTGCTGTGCTCTGTCAAGATTCTCTATGAATTTATCAATCATTGTCAGCATTTTCTCACTTTAAATTTTTGAAAGTTGTGAGGCAAATTCCTTCACTTACTCTTGGGTAGGAGTTGGGGGAGAGTTTTATATTTGTGCTTTTTGATTGGCATGGGATTTTTACATTCTTCAGCATTTCCAGGTTTGACAAACTACTTTTTTTATATTCTTGGGACCAGAAAACAAACTCAAGATAGGTCTTTTATGCCTATTTTTTCCTGTTTCCCAGAAAGGTAGTAGTTTGAATTCAAATTTAAAAAGAGCTGTAAACAGCTGAAGTTATTTCCTGCTAAAGGGACAGCCTCAGATCCCTTATGAGTATCTGAAGTCCTAGTGAGTCCTCTGGGTATCCCTCCATGGCAAGGACTTTGCTTGGTTCTGAGAATCTCATGGGTTTTATTTCAGGATTCCCTCAAGGAGGGGCATCTTGAACCTTTTCACTTACAAGAGCCAAAGAAATGACTTCTGCCTGGAGAATATTCTGGAGTGACTGTGTCTTTCAGAAATCTTCTGGTCAAATCTATAATTTGGGGGACAACATCTCCAATTTCTAGCTCTCTGATTATGGATGAGTGTGGCTAGGCTGAGAGAAGCCCCTCCAAGCCTTTTGACATGGTTGGAAAGTATCTTAGATTGCAAGAGATTTACAAGATTCCACAGTCACATTTCCTTGCTTGAAAACCATATTCATGACTGTTCTAATATGTTGTCTGCCCAGCTTTTTAGGTTTCCTGGCTCCTTTGGGGCTTATTGTTTGGAAGAGTCAGTGCAAGTTTGTCAATAGTAGCCCTGAGTCTACCTAAACTATTTCGTGGCCAGAAACTGACAGTGAAACATTTCAACAGAAACCAAGCCCTCCAAAGTGAACTTTCTAAATGGTGTGCTGAATCTGAGAATTTCAACCTTATTTTTCTGTTGGGTAAAAATCATTCTCTTTTATTGTCCTGTACTCACTTTTATTTTATTTTTTTAAAGATTTAATTATTTATGCATACAAGAACTGGAGTATAAGCCAGAGGTGGGAGAGGGGCGTGAGAGGATTCACCAAACCCCGTGTGGGCTGAGGGTCCGCGAACGCGCTCACCAGCGCCCCCTACCGGCGGCCCCTAGAAGTGCACCTTTGCGTAAGCACAGTCTGTTGGGCGGGATCAGGCTCCGACCGGGGGCGGAGCCTGGGACTCATCAGCGCTGCTGGGCTAGGTGAGGACTCTTCCCCACTGAGTGGTGCTGGGTTGCCGGGGCTTTCCGCGCCGGCCTGTCTGCCCGCAATTTTGGAAGAGGCCGCGGTCGCCGCCCGTCTGTGGCTTCCAGGGGTTGCCCCCCCGACAGTGACCCCGCCCATCCCTCATAGGCTTCCTGGAATCAAAGTTCAAACCTTGCTTTGTAAAATTGCTCAGCGTTCACTCCAGGAAGGAGGGTTGTCAGCACTTCTTTAAAATAGGGACGGTAATAATTTTTCCTTTAAGAGACTGGTTCTCAGGCCTCCGGTTGCTCTGTCAGTTACTTAGGTCTCACACAAGAAACCAAAGCCTTTTTTTAAAAAGAAAATAATGTATATATACAGGGATTCTGACATAATGACATTTTTAGGAAAATATAATTATATTAATGGGAATAAGTTTTATTGCTATAACTTTAGAATGCACAAAAAAATGTATTTGTACTTGTTATTATGATGCTCTTGAGTGTTAGCTTTCCACTAAGTATCTTTGAAGCCAAAGATAAAGATCTGCAATTTGTCAGGACTGTTGACAGAGAAGGTGAGTTACTTCTGCAGCTGGACAGTCAGTATCAATGAGAGCAAATTCCTAATCATTATTAGGGAAGCCTGCAATTTAGATGACCAATGGGTCTTGGTGGAAAGCAACTGCCCTAGAAAGTAACATTCTCCGTCTTCTATCCCTGTGGGCAGCGAAGTTATTTTCACTGTCTACTCATCTGCTTACTAAATTAGCATATGGTTTTGTACACACAAGGATTGGGAGGGAATCAGGGGTGTTCCTAGAAACGTGTAAGGGCAAATTCTAATCTCTCAATCATCTGTGACTGAGACCTGTGACTCTGTTACAGGGCAGGGAGAGGGGCACTCCGGACCCCGCAAATCTGCCTGTTCTAAATGGGTTCTGCCATCTGCCGCATCAACACAAAACATATGAGACTTTAATGGGAAGGAACTTTAATACAATTAGGAAACAATATAGAAAAGACAAGGAATATAGTTTCTTTTTTTTTTTTAAAGATTTATTTATTTATTTATACAAGCACTGGGTACAGTCAGAAGCGTGAGAGGGTGAGAGAATTCACCAGAGCCAGAGCGGGAAGCGGAACAGGCAGACTGACGAAATACACTGCTGAGGGGAGCAACGGGTGGCAGGAGAGGTCTGCGCGCTTCGTGGGACCCTCGCCGGCGGCGGGGATCGAACTGGTGCTGCAGAGGCTGCGCGCAGCCTGGCAACCCAGCGCTCAACGACTGCGCCACTAGGGGAGGCCCCGGAATATAGTTTCTAAATCAAGCACCCAAAGTTACCCGTCCTCTCATGGGTAAAAGTCCACCCAAATGGGATTGGCCCAGAGCAAGGCCCCAAAGCCTGCCACAAGTCTAAAGCATCTTCCAGTGGGGACCCACAGAAAAGGATCAGAAACAACCAGACAAGTCTGGAGGGAAAAGAGCAAAATCAACATCAAGACAAAAACCGTCACTGTCACCTCCCCACAGGTCTCTCACCCACATCTGTGTCAACCAGTCCATGACCAAAAGGCAAGAGTAGTTTCTTCACATGTCTCTCTGCTCCATGTGCCTCCTCCAAGTCTCCTTCTGGCTCAGCTCTCCATCCTGCTTCTTTCCTTCCTCAGTCTTCTCTGTAGCTTCTTCTCTCTGCTCAACTCAGAGTCTCTCTGGAACCTCCCCCTTTCTGGGGACCACCCTATTACAACTCCAGGCTAAGAAAAAGTTAAGATGATCTTTTCCTAGAAGCCTATTAATGAAAAACTTAAAAAAAGTTTATGAGCAACTTACAGCTTTAGGAATGGGTATGAAAGGTGCCTTGGGCACCTTGTAGTGACTGATGTTAGTCACTGAAGGTGTGCGACCCCGAGAATTGTCACAGCCCCCTCCCCACATACTTCCACCCCCTGCACCCTTCCCCCTTGAGTTTTTTGTAAGACTGGTCCTGTAATTACCCTATTTCAATTATAGATTTTGTAGACCACTGCTTTTCCTTTAGTTTTGGCCTTGTCATTCTCTAGGAGAAATCCTCAGGGATTCCAAACTCTTGGGCCCCTCTTCCTCCTTCCAAAGATCAATTCTAGGATGGAGCTGGAAGGAATTAGGCTTAGTGAAACAAATCAGAAGGAAAAAGAAAAATATCAGATTTTTCTTTCTGAAGTTTCACTTATAGGAGGAACATAGGGGAACTCAATAAGGGATCAGGGAAAAAAATACAAAACTAGCAGGCAACTATAAACCTGGAGTCATTCAGCAGAGTAGGGAGCAGGAGAGGGATCAAAACAGGGGCAGGAAAAGCACAAGAGACTGTGGTGATGATGCATGGGTGACTTGATGGTAAGAATTTTATGGGGACTACATCTGAGAGGAGAAAGCAAACTACAAAAATGAACAATCATGTAAAATTTATATAGAGAAATAAGAACAATTATTGATGAAATTCATATGGAATCACCAAAAACCCCGAATAGTCAAAGCTCTACTGAAAAAAAAAGAAGGAAATGGAGGCATCACACTCCCAGACTTCAAACTATACTACAAAGCCATAATCATCAAAACTGCATGGTATTGGAACAAGAACAGACATACAGACCAATGGAATCGAATAGAAAATCCAGAAATAAACCCACAGATTTATGGTCAACTAATCTTTGACAAAGGAGCAAAGACTATGCATTGGAGCAAAGAAAGTTTGTTCAATAAATGGTGCTGGGAAAACTGGGTCGCTACATGCAAAAGAATGAAGCTTGACCACTACCTCACACATACACAAAATTAAAATGAACTAGACATAAGACCTGAAACCATAAAATACATAGAAGGAAATATAGGCGAAACACTACGGGATTTGCACATCAAAGACATCTTTACAGACACATCACCCAAAGCAGTGATGGTGAAGAGAAAGATAAACAGCTGGGACTACATCAAATTAAAGAGCTTCTGCACAGCAAAAGAGACAATAACAAAAACAAAGAGAAACCCACCAACTGGGAGATTTTTGCACCCAACACTAATGATAAAGGACTGATCACAAAAATCTGCAAAGAGCTGATGAGACTCAGCAACAACAAAGAAAATAATCCAGTCAAAAAATGGGCAGAAGAGCTAAAAAGAAACTTCTCTGAAGAGGAAATGCAAATGGCCAACAGACATATGAAAAAATGTTCAACATCACTTGTAATCAGGGAAATGCAAATCAAAACTACCATGAGATACCATCTCACACCAGTGAGAATGGCACATATTAAAAAAACTAGCAACAACAAATGTTGGCGAGGATGTGGAGAAAAAGGAACTCTTGTGCACTGTTGGTGGGAGTGCAAACTGGTCCAACCACTATGGAGAGCTGTGTGGAGATTTCTGGACCTACTAAACATAGAGCTTCCATATGATCCAGCAATTCCACTCCTAGGTATTTACCCAAAGGACACAGAAACATCAATTCCAAAGAGCACCTGCACTCCTATGTTTATAGCAGCACTGTTTACAATAGCTAAGCTTTGGAAACAACCCAAATGCCCAAAAATAGATGACTGGATCAAGAAGATGTGGTACATATATACCATGGAATATTACTCAGCATTCAAAAAAGATAAACACATGCAATTTGCAGCAACATGGATGGCACTGGAAGGGATCATGCTCAGCGAAATAAGCCAAAAAGAAAAAGAAAAATACCGGATGGTCTCACTCATAGCAGGAATCTAGAAAACTTAAATAAGGGACCAGGAAAATGAATATAAGAAAGTGAAAATCAAAATCAACAAAAAAACTATGAACCAGAGACACTTTTTGGGGGTGGGGGGGCGGGAGGGGAAGGATTGGGTCAGAATGGGGCGTTTGCAATTGTATGGGGGAATATAAAAATAAAATTTAATATTTAAAAAAAAAAAAAGATAAACAGAATAGAAAAAAAAATTTATATAGAGAAATAAATGGGAAAAAAAGCAAAAATCAAATCTAGTTGGGGCAAAAACTTAAACGTTGGTTTGGGTTAAGATTTTTCCCTGGCCTTTTCTGGGATTAGTAGGATTCTTTGATATTTCTTCTAGTTGTTCTGTTCCTAAACAATCTTGACTTTCAGGGCCAAACTAGTTGGAAGGTGGGAAGGATCTCTTTGCCTGAGGCATCCCCCTGCCTGGCCTGAACTTTCATCGAGATGCCTGATCCAGGAGGCTGGTGGGTATGGTGCCCACTAGAGGTGTTCTGCCCAACTTCCCCAGGGCCACCAGGCAAGGCTGACAACTTTCATGATTAAAAACATGACTTTTAGGAACATTTCAGACCATTTAAAGGAGCACTGCGCTGTGATTTGAGAGAGGAGGCAGTTAGGGCAACCATTTTCCACTTTCAAGGTTAACGTCTTAGTGAATAAATGATTTTGGAAAAAATGAATGGTTTAGACATCTTGTTGCTTTCCTGTAGCTGGTGCCTCTGAATCCACAGAATTTGGTTCTGTCGTAACTGATGTCAGTGTCAGGACTGTCGGGTTTATTGAGCAGGGGTCCTCAGGGTACCTTCTGAGAAAATTTCACCGGAGCTCCCTTTCAGCAGCACGTGAGCTTCCCCACAAGGCAGAGATGATTAGTTATCTCCAAAAGGGCAGTTTTATTCTATAAAAAAGGAAAAGCAAAAAGACTGCTTGCAGTCACAAGAGGGCAGAAAGAGCTGCCTTTGAAAGGGACAGGTTTGCTAAAAGAAATGCTTGTATAGACACACAGGTGGGCAGGAGAG